GCGCCGCACTCACACCGGCGCGCACGCCGGCCCGGGACCCCGCGCGCGCACACACGGGCGAGCAGGGCCACCCGGGCGCCCTCCACTCCCGCACATTCGCAGGACAGGCGGGGAGCTGCGCTGGGACCCGCAGGACGCACACGCGCAGTCCCGCACGTGCCAGCATTTCCTGGGCTCCATTCACTCTCACAGGACACACGCAGGTGTGCAAGGACCCTCCAAGCACACACAAACGTGTGCAGACACTTGGCAGAAGCGTCCACTGGCCACACCCGCAGGACACACACAAACACATGTACCCGTACAGAGTTGGTTGAGGTTGCTGTGGCATGGTACAGCCCCCAGTACACACACACCCGTAACAGGACACACAAGCACGCCCATAGAGGTGATCAGGGAACTCAGGGCACAGACTGCCTCTCCCCGACACATCTAGCAGGACACACAGATACACTCCTAGGAGTGTGAGGACAGGCTGCGCACACAGCAGCAGGAGTGCATCCTCAGCTGTCCAAGGTCATTGCTGGCACAATCTATTCACACTTCCTCTCAGGTCACATACAAACACACTCTGTAACCTCCAGTCAGTCTCTCACTTTGTCAGTGCCTAGTTTGAGGGACCCAGCTGCACCCCCATGGGGACAGGGTGGGCGAGAACCTTGACACAAGCTGTAGTCAGGAGCGGGGTGACGGCAGGCAGGGATTAGGCAGAAGAGACCTTCCCAGTGAATGATGGATGAGGCAGCCGTGGAGCGGCAGGGCATGGCCTGGCCACTGCTCAGGCCTCCCACATGGCCAGATAACTAAACAAATCCCACACGGCCCAGCCCTGCCTGTTGTCCTGCTTTCTGGGAACAGACTCTGTTGGGAGTGGCTGCTGCTTATACAGGTGTGTCCCCAGAAAGCCCTGGGAATCCTGTTTATGCTCTGGTTTCTATTGATGTGTCAGAAATGCTTATTTTCTCTCTGCGTCCCTTCTGTGAGATGAGGGGCCTCAAGCCTGTGCCCCGCCCCCCAATAACCCCTGTGGAGGGTTGGGGAGCAGAGAGAAGAGAAGGAGGCCTCACCCTCATCGCTTCCAGCTGCATCATTCTGGCAGGTCATTTGATCTCTCTGACTTCAGTTTCCTCATCTGTGAAGTGGGACTTATTCCAACCTCATTGGAATAAGGACTCATTCCAACCGCATTGTGGTAATAGGCCCCACCTATCACAGAGCAGACTCAACAGGGCTGGCTTTCTCTTCTCCCTTCCCTCGGGAGACGAGGCTCACTGATGAGAGGTGATGGAGAACCGTGTGTTGTTTCGTGGCAAGTTCTGCCCTGGGTGGTGATGGTCCCTGCCCACCGTTGAAAACTCCCGTGTACTGTGTCAAGAACGTGCACAGCTGTCATCTTACTGATTCCTTATATTACTGTCCGATGTAGGCAGGATTTACCATTCCCATTTTGCAGGTGAGGAAATTAAAGCTCAGACACAGTGACTTGCCCAGGGTGACTGCTGGCTGGGGGCAGAGCTGGGTCCTGACCCAGGTGTCCTGACTTTTGGGGGGCTTCCACCCCCCCGACCCCTGCCTTTCCCTCCCCACCCCTACAGAGCTCGAGGAGTCAGAGCAGAGCTGGAGACACAGATGAAACCTTGTTCCCCAAAGCTCTTCCTGAGGCTTCTTGGATGGGGACAGCCCAAATTGAGCAGGAAGAGGAGGGGAAGAGAGAGGGAGCCCAGAGCCTCGGGGGTTACAGAGGGAATGAACCAGACCGGGGGCTCCCGAAGGACAAGCTGAGATCCTGGGGGGAGAAAAATTCAGCCGTCCCACAGTCAAAGGCCAAGGGAAGGACAGGAGAGCCTGGAAGCCTGACACAATGAGTGGGTTTCTCATTTCCAGGAATGCTTAAGGGGATTAGTCCTTAAATAGGCACAGAGCAAGTCCTTCTGTGCCAGAGGTGGCTGCATCAGAAAGTGATTGTGTAATGATTTGGGGTATTAAGATGCAGACACTGAACCATCATGTCATAATTCCTTCAGTTGAGGAGCAAGAGAGTGTTGTCATCATCTTACAGATGGGAAAACTGAGGCTTCAGGACTTCAGGTCAACTGACCGGGAATGAGAGCCTGGATATCCTGACCCCTGACCCTGTGCCCTTTTGACACCAAGACTTTGCCTCTGTGTTTGCTGGGGCTGGGGACAGAAGGGGGCTGACCACTCCCTCCTGGCCTTTTGACCTTCTGTGGGTCTGACTTTTTGAAGGTTCAGCTCACAGCTCTTGGCTCTGCAGGTGCTGGCTCTGGGAAGGGTCTGGAAGAAGTCGGGTAGAGGGCCCAGCCTCCAAAGCATCCAGCCTGGGTTTCCATCCTGGAAACCCAGGATGCCCGCTGGAGGAACATGTAGCATATGTGGGGCCAGCCTCCTGCACGTGGCAGAGTTGAGAGCCACTCTGGGGTCTGAGTTCCTCCAGCCATGAGCCCAACTGAGATGGGGTAGGGCCCCCTGGAGCAGTAGAACTGGTGTCATCTGGGCAGGTGTTCAGTTTCTAGAAGGAGTATGGGCTGGGGAGTCAGGCAGACTTGGATTCAAAAACCAGTGTCTCCCTCCTCCTGTGTCTGACTTTGGGCTGGTTGCTTAGGCCCTTGGTCTCACCTGTGGAGTGGGGGGCCATGAACAGCCCTGTGATCAATGAAGGCAGGAGGGATCTAAGGTGCCTGGTGTAGCCCCTGGCGTGCAACGGGCACTCAGTGAACTGTAATTCTCTTCCCGGTGCAAACCATCATCATATGCCCTGTGCCTGCCTCAGTTTCCCTACCAGTGAAATGCAGTTGGCTGCCCTCTCCATGTCTGCGGCAAGGCCAGGTGGGGACACCGGGGACAGTGTGTTGAGAAGTGGGGCACCGGCTGGCATGTGTGGGGATCTTTAAGCAGCTGGACGTGTCCAGACCCAATCAATCATGTTGCCTTCCACGCTGGGGTGGGTGGCTCCGCAGCTGGACCGGCCCTCAGCAAAGTTAAGTGGGTAGAGTCTGCCCTTTGTCACAGCCCTCAGGAACCCTGTGCCCTCGCTTCTCCCCGACCTGCTTCTCCCAACAGGCTTCTGAGCTCTCCCCGTACATGCAAAGGCCCCTGTCCAATGAGGCAGAAGTGGGTTCCTCGGAGGGTGGCCCAGGCGTCTGTACCACTGGGATGCCTGTTAATAATGCAGATCCCAGGCCCCCACCTCACACCCCTGACTCAGATATGTGCGTCTTAACAAGCACTCCTGGATTATTTTTATGCACAATTATTTGTATGACAATCGCCGGGTTAGATGGTGCTAATGGTTTAATACAGTGATGCTCAACCGGTTTTGCTGCCTCCATGCTGTTCAATGCGCAACACCCAGGCGGGGGTGGGGGCGCTGGAATTTCTAGAGCGCTTTGGTGAAGTCCCACTGGGGGTCTGATTCACCCTGCTTTGGGCATGATGATGTCCTTCCTGGCTGAGAATGACTGACTGGTTAAAGCCTTTCCTTCCGGTGGGCGACAGGCGTTTCAGAGGAAATGGCCTCCACTCTGCCCTTGGCTGGATGTTCTTGGTTGGCATCTCTGGCCGGTGTCCACATGCCTGGGGACGAAGGGCCCTGGCCTAACATATACCCTAGTTTCCACCCATCCCTGATTCCTGGAGGAGCTCTTGGCATGCTGTGCTGGTGGAACCTTCTCTGGAACAACAGGAATTCTTCACCCAGAGGAGGGGCCGATGGAGGAGTTCCAAGCACTGTTGCCGGTTGATGGAGAGAGGCCTCCAGGGCTCTTCCCATTCATTTATTTATGAATCCACACTTCTACAATATTTATTGAGCACGTACCCTGTGACGGGCCCCGTGCTACATTCTGCAGGGGGCCCAGTGATGAAGGAAGCCCCATGGTCCTTTCGATTCTGATGATGGAGGGCAAATCAGGAAGGGCGGTGGGAGCCAGTCACTCTGGCCGATCGCTGCCTCCTCCTTGGCCGATTCTACGGCCTCGGCCCGGGAAGCGAGGTGGAGCGCCGATGTAAGCAAGTCAGTGTAAGCGTTTGCAGTATAGCCTGTGGCTGCTGAGAGGCAAACTTGATGTATTAAGCGATATTAAAAATGCAGCTCTTTCTGATAATTTATTATGCACACTCTCATAAACACACTCCACTCGTCACAGTACATTTACTAACACTCGGCCTAGCAGCGGGGAAAAGTTAACACGTACCTAATGATGTTGTTTTGCAGATGTCAGATGCTGTTGGAGCTGTCAGGATGGGCTAAATGGCTCAAAGAGATGCTCCTCTTATTTCGCTCCTGGGACCTCTGTCCCTGCAGAGGCCCCCACTGCAGGTCTGTGGGCCCCTCACCTCGCCTACCCCTCTCACTTGCCAGATGAGGAAACCGAGGCCTATAGAGATGGAG